CACACACTTCAGACTTGCAACTGAGTAGTATCAGAGGATAGGTGGGAGCCCCTCGATTGGTAATTACTGGTTCCTGCTGGTGGCTCAGGATCAGCTAGGGTACCGGTGAAGAAGGATGGTGGAAAGCACCTGGCACAGTACAAACAGCGTTGTACCCAGAGCCCCCCTTCCTCATTCTGGGGGCAAAGGAGTAGGCGTCATACCCATTGGGAGCACCACAGGGGTTGGTGGGAGACAGTGGCCTGACCATTGCCTTCTCTCCTCTCTCCCCAGGTCACACCCCAAGGGGGTGCCGGGACCTTGCCGATGTCCCAAGCTTCCAGCAGTCTGAGCACAACAGGTCAGGGAGGGCAGAAGATGGTAGGGGTGGAGTGGGGGGGGAGAACACAATGCAGGCCTGAGCCCAAGGGTCTCAAGTGGCTCAGGGTGTCCATGGGCCTCAAGGCTGAGCCTGGGGATGAGGGAGCAGGGAGAACAGAGGAGAGAGGGCAGATTCACCCCTCCTGGCCAGAGAAAAGCATGGGGTTGCTGAAAGGTGATGTACTTGGGTTCTGTTCCTGGCATTTATAAACTGTGTGAACTTCCAGAAGTGACTTTACCTCTCTGGGCCTCAGTTTTATAAAATTATCATGAATGTATAATACATGCAGAAGCTATATGCATGCATACAAACATACAAGTGTCACAAAGACACACACACACACTCTCTTTTGTACAAAGCCCTCCTTTCTTGGGACAGGGCGTCATACACCATACATAAGAATACTATTTTTAAAAACCCACCATATTGCCCCTCCCCACATTAAGAAATAATAAGTGGAGGTTTAAAAAATAGTAAGGGTGTTGCCTGGCACTGTTCTAAATGCTTTATAAAGAATATTGACTCATTTAATCCTCACACTCATTTTACTATCCCCATTTCCCTGATGAGGGAACTGAAGGCCAGAGAGGTGAAGGCGCTTGCCCAAGGGCACAGGTGAGGCATGACAGAGCCAGGAATTGCTGCCTTGGCTGCCTGGCCTGAGTCTGGGCCCTGAGCCCTCTCAGCCTGCCAGCTCCTGAGCCAGTCAGCGCACAGCCGCACCCTCCATGCCTGACCCCTAGAGGGAGCCAAAGGGCTTTGTCTTCTGGGTGCCCCCTGTTCTTATCCCTATAAAAGGAGCCCTGGGATGAGGTTCAGGGCAGGGTACAGGGCATGGGCTCAGTGAGTGACCGCTGCTCTTACTTTGATGACTGTGATTGGCATCACCGTGGCAGAGCACGAAGAAACGGCCCCGGGAAGAGGAGGCAGGAGGCCTGAGTCGGCTCTGACTGAGGAGGTGCTGGGAGGCTGCGGCTGGAGGAGGCAGGCAGGAGTCGACCCAGGGGCCTGGGTGGAGGGCGAGTGGAAGTTGAAGTCTCCCTCTCTCTGTCTCTCTCTGGCAGTTACTACCTTATCCTCAGCTGTGGGGACGCTCCACCCCAGCCGGACAGCCGGAGGGGGTGGGGGCGGGGGCGGGGCCGCGCCCCCCCTCAATTCCATTCCTTCTGTCACTCCCCCACCCCCGGCCACCACCAACAGCACAAATCCCAGCCCTCAAGGCAGCCACTCGGCTATCGGCTTGTCGGGCCTGAACCCCAGCGCGGGGTAAGTGGGCAGCTGCAGGTGGGAAGACAGTGGGGAGAAGCAGGGTCGCTACTGCTTCCAGGGTGGGGAGCCGAGCCCCAGTTCTGCCGGCGGCCCTGACCCTGCTAATGCCCCTGCTTTGCCTCTTGCAGAAGCACAATGGTGGGGTTGAGCTCCGGGCTGAGTCCAGCCCTCATGAGCAACAACCCTTTGGCCACTATCCAAGGTGCGTGCTGCCTCATGTCACCCCCATGGTCACCAGCCCTGCCCTCAGGGGCCTTGGGCCCCTCCATTGCTGCTCCAGCCATGCCATCCTGCCCCTGCTCACTGCATTGCTCGCCTCTTCATACCCATCTCACCTTTGGGGAAGGTGTGAGGGCTGCTCATGGGGGTCAATGGGGCTGATGGGAAGACAGGGCACTGCGGGCAGGACGCTGGAAGGCGCCCGCAGCCCAGCCTCTCTCTCTCCCCGCCAGCCCTGGCCTCTGGTGGAACCCTGCCCCTTACCAGCCTTGACGGCAGCGGGAACCTGGTGCTGGGGGCAGCCGGTGCGGCCCCGGGGAGCCCCGGCCTGGTGACCTCGCCGCTCTTCTTGAACCACGCGGGGCTGCCCCTGCTCAGCGCCCCGCCCGGCGTGGGCCTGGTCTCGGCAGCGGCTGCGGCCGTGGCAGCCTCCATCTCCAGCAAGTCTCCTGGCCTCTCCTCCTCCTCCTCCTCCTCCTCTTCCTCGTCCTCCACTTGCAGTGAGGCCGCAGCACAGACCCCTGGAGGCCCGGGGGGGCCGGAGGCAGGGTCCAAGCCCGAGTGAGGGCCCGCCAGGCCTCCCCTCCTACTCCCCTGACCTCCACTTTGGTCCCCGCCTAGAAGAGGGCGAGGAGGCCAGCAGTGGGGACGTAGAAGGTCCTTGGAGCAGGAGTGACAAAGGAGGAAAGACCAAAAACATCAAACAACCAAAAAAAAAAAGAAAGAAAGAGAGAAAGAAGAGAAACCAACAAAAAAGAAAACCAAAAATAATCACAACAGAAACCAGCTGCCCCAAAGGAACCAGAGATGAAAACAAACAAAAAAACCAAAAACTCCCCAAAACCAAACAAACCAAAAACCAGTTGCAAGCCAGACCTCAGTGTGCTCACCCTCACAGCTAGGACACCAAATAAGAACCCCCAGCCAGGGGCCGAGAGACCTCGCAGGGCGGACCTCACCCTGAGCCCCAGGCTGGGGGGCTCACCTGCAACTTTGCCTCCCCCACTGGGAGCCAAAGAAGGAAAAAGAGAACTCGCCAGCCTCCCAGTCCCAGCCCCCAGCCCTGGGCCAGTGAAGACGGCACAGCCTGGGGCAGAGGGGTGGGCTCAGAACCACCCCCAAATGTTCTTTTCCAGAAGGTGAAAGAGAAAGGGCCTGAACAACCTTACACCAAATATTCAGTAGCTTCATCCAAAGGATGTACAGAATTTTTAGCGTTGAGCTCAACAGAATGTGTCCCTACCATGTGTCCCCCCCCAACCCCCAGCTCTCCCCATCCAGGCAGGGGGTCTCGC